TAGATGTTTGCAAACTGAATGCTTAATTATTTGTTCCATTATGTTTCTGGGTACTGAAATTAAGCTAGCTGGTCTGATTTTGTAAGCAACTGGTTTTTAAGTGAGGTGAAATTTGGAGTACCCAAGACAAATCAGACACCTGAAAGAAGTACAGTAGTCTGGAAAGGTTGAGAACCATTGATTCATAGTATTCTAGGAATTTTAAAAATATATTTTGCATACTGTGTATGGACAAAAGATGATCTCTAGATGTCCCATTTCTCCTACCTTGTGACTTTAGGTAAGCCACTTAACACTCTCTTGAGGAAGGTTTGGATCTGGGTCCAAATTTTCAGCTGGTCCATATCTTTCTATGTGTAGTCAAGAAGTTTCATTCTAGCTTGAAAATTACAGTGCCAGCCATTTTATTATTTTATTTTATTAATAATAATAACCAAATCTTCTCAGATTCAAAAAAGGGTGTCAAAAATATTATTCATTGCAATGTCTCCTAACATACAGGTTCTAAAAAAGATCCAACTGCATAAGTACTGGAATATTTAAAATGTCATGGTGTTTACTGGTCTCAGTGCAGAAATTTTACAAGAGAACCTTTTCTCTTTAGATTACAAGGCCCATTTTGGCAGACTCCAAGGTTCAGATACATATTCTACTTTTCCTAGCTCATCAAAATGGAACCTGCTGTGGTGCAACATTTGAAGCTGTTAAAAGTCAACCTTCACTTCACAAATGATTAAAACAAAATGACCTATTTCAATTGATACATATCTTGGAATTATCCGGTGTATTGAATTTCTTCTTCCTCTATTACTCTTATTGAAATTCAGTTATCATCAGTGCAACTTACCTTTCACATATATGCACTTGTAAGCCCAAACTTTGTAGAAGGTTGGATCCAGTGGGACCTCTACATTTCCCTTGTTTGAAAGTATTTAATACAACATTTAAGCTCAAATCTTTAGCCTTCAGTATCACTTTGCTGATTACATGTACCTGATATTGATGAGATATTTTCCAATAAAATGCCATTGCTATCCAATTCTTTTATTCTGAATGAGGCAACATACATGTGGTGAATGTTTTTTTCTAACAAATATTTGATGTAATACATTTTCATATCTAATCATTATGGGATGCTCAGCTTTTAAACATTGTGCTGAGCAAAACTTGATCTGTCCAAAAAAAATATCTCTGGAATTCCTGATCTTGATACCTTCCTGCAAATGTATACTAGGTACTAATTTTTTTGTAAATATTTGTTCAGAGTGATGTACCTCAACTATTGTTCAGTTCATACGGGGAGAGAATGGCAAAATGATGACATTCTTAGGATTTACTAAGTGTACTGAGCAGCTTGTCTTTCTCAAGTGCTCTTTGGGTTCTTAATGACGCCTACAATACTTAGTTGCAGTTTACAAATTGTAATTTTCAATCATAAGTGCATTGTTTTGCCAGAACAATAGTATTTGATTAATTAGCTCCTGTTATGATGAGGACTAACATAGGGAACAGAGACAGAGTTCAATGCCCATAGCCAAATGAAGCCATTCAATACAGGGAGTGAAGGTATAACTGGTGCTTATAAAAATACAAATAAACATTCTTGGATAAAGGCTGGAAAAGGGTTAGAAAATTAATTTTTTTCCCGTTAAGGCAGCCATCAGGAACGCCATATCTTTTAAACCATATAATCACGCAGAAATGGATAATAATCCCATCCACCCCCACAAATATACATTATTGTCCTTGCTGATATTCATAAATGTTTTACCTAGACCATCTTTGAATATCTCCAGCAACGGAGTTTCACAGATGAAAAGGTTGTTCCATAGTCAAACAGCTCGTACTGCAAAATGTGTTTTGGGTTTGGTTTTTTGTTTGTTTGTTTCCCTCCCCCGTTCCCCCCATCTGAGGCTGAATTACTCCTTGTACAACTTTATATAATTGCTCCTAGTTTGTCCTCCCTGCAGCACCTGGAACAATTCTTCCTCCTCAATTATGCAGATGTCCTACAAATCACCATTGACAGTTTCAGAAATCAGGAGAGTGATGCTCTGGAAATTACTGGCTCGCAAGGCCTCTCCTTACTTGTCTTGCCAGAGCCCACACAGAGTTAATTTCTGTTGGTTATATTCTTATTATTTAACAGCATAAAATATAGGTCCTGATTCAGAGCTATGCTGTGGCTTACTCCCATAGGGTGAAAAGGTCTTACATCAACCGGATTTCCCAGCCAAGGATCCTCCTACGCTAGTGGGCTGTTTATAATTAGATAATGTTTGCAAGGCACTTATCAAATGAAAGCTATTAGAGAGAAGCTAAGAATTACTATTTGTTTGTATGTCCTTAACATCTTCAAAGGGACTTTTTACTGGAGAGGGGAAAAAAAGATGTCTCTTAAATATACTTTACAATCACATAGGCACAGTTAGCTGCTAATAAGTACGAACTAGTGAGTTGAGCTATTAAATTCTAGAAATATGAGAAATGCTGAAAATAACCTCAAAAACAATATTTTAGTGTAAAGGGAATCTAATTGGATCACACTTCTTCTCTCGGTTAGGATATGCCAGGAGTTGCTTTTTTTCTAACACCGCACATATTTGGGTGACAGGACTAGATGCATAAACTGCTGCACTGCAGAGAAGTGTGAAGTATTCATAATAATATGAAATGCGACTCAAAGCTCAATGTTTTACACATTTCAATGTGAGCTTGAAAACTGGACTCTTGTCGTGGAAATTTCTGCTGAGACATGCACAATTTCCTACCACTAATGGACTCCTTTTCAATGGAAAATGGGCCAGCTTTCAAACAAAAAAAATGACCCATTTTGAGCATAAATAGACCTATTTTTCCAGCTAAGTCAGCTTATAAAACATGCAATAAGACACGATTTTGCGAGTTTTCTACTCAATAATAGCCTTTTTTTTTCCAAAATAATGAAGAAAGCTAAATTTGAGGGGAAGGTTCCAATACAGCTTGAAAAGAAACAGAGAACATTTTTAAATGAAATTCTGTGAATTTTGCCCAGCCTTATATGTTCAAGCTCATTCACTGAGTCATAGACACTGAAGTGAGATTGCTATATGTACAATTATATACCATCCTGGAGCCTTAAAATCCCAGTAGGGGATTTTCTGCCATCCAGAATAACATTTAGTTTCTATATGAAGGGGCACACACCTCTTGCAGGGTAGGTGGGATTTTAAGGCTCAATAGCTGAAGGTTTTCTACAAAACTATGTTTTCAGTGTTTAGCATCTCTTCTAGTTTGGGCTGCCTGAACGGCAAGTTTCTTACTGAGCCATGGTATTGATCAGTTGCCTTTGGAACCTTTGCTGGTGGCCTGCAGATGTTTTGAGAGCCACAACATGGGGGCTTGGGGCTTGGCAAGGGAAAATCCCCATGAAAGGCTGTCTTGTATAAAATGGGCTGCACAATGTATAATTTGGAGGACCCCTGCAGTGAGCTCTTAGCTGCAAAGTGGCTGCCCTGGGAGTTTGGCTTGCTAAGCGATAGTCAAAAAGAGGCTTTTTAAATTCTAAATGGCAGGGGGCTAATTGATGGGGGACAAATCTCGTCCCAGCCTCTATAGTTCTGCTGCACGAGGCAGTGATGGTATTTGGAGGAGATGGGGGAGGCATTTGTTTTCTCTGCAGCATGGAACTCAGCACCAATTGGCTCCCTTTATGACAGCACTCCAGATACATGTTTGAACAACAGCTATTGAGCATGCAAGATATTCCTACTACACAACATTAAAGATGACTACAGCACCTCTCCATCTTTGTTCTCCATGGACAATGCAACACATATGGTTGATAGACCACACGAGACCATCATACAAGTGGGGAAAATACTCATTTTAAGAAGGGCCCATTCCTGCCTCCATTGAAGTCAGTGACCCCCCGCTTGGTTAGGCAACTCCCATCTTTTCATGTGCTGTTTATTTATACCTGCCTACTGTATTTTTCACTCCATGCGTCTGATGAAGTGGGTTATAGCCCATGAAAGCTTATGCCCAAATAAATTTGTTAGTCTCTAAGGTGCCACAAGGACTCCTCATTGTTTTTTGCTGATACAGACTAACACCGCTACCCCTCTGAAACCTGTCAAAATGGTTTATGAGTTCAATGGGAGCAGGTTCAGGCACCGAATAGTAATTCCATTTGATGGTATCTAATATTACCCTTTTGTCTGGCAGGCCACCATCTATGCTTCCATGCCCAGCACAAAAGGTGAATTGAGAACCCTATGGCTGCCCCCAATGCAGAATTCACTCTGGGCCCCATTTTGGCTTTTAAGTTATGGCTAGCATTGGAAAGATGGGGTGGGGTGGGAATTGAGAATGGGTTGTGCTGCAGCACCAGCATGGAGACCTGGTGCTCTCTAGTTCTTTGATGGGTAGGTACTCAGATGATGAGCATGGCATAAAAACTAAATGCCTGGATGGTTAGATAGATCTAATGTGCTAATGTCACCATATCTAATTCTTTTGTGCCAGCCATAACATATTTTAGATATTGCTTTCCTACTTCTGTTACTTCTGAATATTTGGATTACCATTTAAAATAGCATGTGCAGAGTACATAAGGCTTAATACAAGAAAGTGTGAGTTTATATTCAGTATGTGACTTTAGGATTTAATTATGTAACTATCATAACATTAACGAATCATGTGACCAATATTGGTGCATTGAAGTGCATAAAACCTGGGAATATTTTAATTTCTGTCCCATTTCACCATACAGTTGAATAATTGTGTAGCCTATACACTGTTCACAAACATAAACCCATTATACCTTGCTTCATCTTGTATTTTAGATAAAATTTGCCCTGGAGCCCAGGGGAGAGCCACACTCTCTCAGTAAACCAGTAGCTCAAATAAATTTTTGTCCTATATTGTATCAGACCAAATTGTGTTGTGTTGTTGTTGCTCTTGATGTCTGAAGGAGAGGAAACTGAATTTTTGATCTCTCGATTTTTTTTTTTCAGACGATGGAAAACCCTAAGTACGAGCTTATTATAGAAGCGAAGGACATGGCTGGTCTTGATGTGGGATTAATTGGCACAGCGACAGCTACCATTGTCATCGATGACAAAAATGATCACCCACCAGAATTCACCAAGAAAGAGGTAAGAATTTGCCAGTTTTCTTCTATTAATCTTTGCATCCAATTGTACTTAGTTTTCTTTCTGAATATAAAATAGCATTATTTTATGAGGGAGGGGAACACCTATAGTTAGCTTCATTTCAGCTACTTTGACCCACCTTTTCTAGGGCCACCCTCACATGCCGCCTGCAGGCCATCCCTATACAGGGCTGCTTGGAAATCTTGGTAGCTGCCCCATGCACCTCCCTCAGATCCCTACAACTGTCTTGCCAAGACCTTTGGCGCATATGCCTAGGCAAAGATATGGAGGAGCGAAGGCTACCATAGACCTGTTGTCCACCCTTTAGACCACTGATCCAGAATCCAAAGGTCAGAGCAAGTTTGGACGCTCAGTGACATAGAGGTTGTAGCTTCTGCCAGAGAACAACCTAGATAGAGCTGCTAACTGCCTATCACTTCAGCATGACCACCTTTTCTGTCTGGGTGAGATCCCTTAGCCTTTCTTCAACCAAGAAGTATCCACAAGGCAGTGGAGGATGGAGTTTAACATCATGCCCAGGACAAACTTTTATTTGGAAAGTGGTGATTAAAAGCATTTTTTTTCTCACCTTGTATATCTTCTTAAGCAAAACCTGACCTGAAGAAGAGCTCTGTGTAAGCTTGAAAGTTTGTCTCTTTCACAAGCAGAAGTTGGTCCAGTAAAAGATATTACCTAACCAACCTTGCCTATGCAAAACCAGTCACTTTTGGCTTACATGGATTTCAGAAAACTGATACACAGGAAACAAAACTCAGAGCACTGCAGGATCCTTGGACAGTGTTCTGGGTCTTCGGACAGAGTGCTTGGTCTCTGAATCCTTCAGCATTTTCTCCCTTTTTAAATTTTGCTCATTGTACCCTACTGCTTTTGGGCTCAGGTTGACATAATTTCCCTGGGGATATATCTAATGAATTCTCCCTCCCTTACATCAGTACACTTACATACACCATTTAATACAATTTCCAAAAGCAGAACACAACCAAACCCCAAACATTATAACATAAAGTACTGTAGAGAAATGGGCTGCGGGTGATGAGATAATATCTAAATTAAGCCTACAGAGCTATTTCCCTCCTTTCTCCCATAGCGGGGAGTCCCATCACTGTAAACCTAGCTCTGGGTCATATGATAATATGACACACAGCTGAAATCAACATGTTTTGTCATGAAGGCAATGAATTTCAGCACTTTCCCTTTGAGACCTGCCAGCTTTCAGAGTTTGGTATTGAAACTCTGGTCCTGATGCCTTTTAAATTTCACCTGTTCTGTGTGATAATTTTCTGCCCTGCAAGAACAATACTGAGTGCCTGGAAGAAAAAAAACAAACACAAAAGACATCGACTGTCTGTAGAACGATGGCATTTTAAACTTCTATCCCTGTCATGACAAAGCTCTCTGGCTTCAGACAAACCATTCCCAAATCCGTCACTTTCTACCCCCTACCTCTGTTGTCCAAAAAGGGCAAAAGACTCCTAGGAGCATTGGCTAATTCCACCAGTCAGTTTGACACCCAAAACCATCAGATTTGGCTATAAAAGTTTCACAAACTTCTGCAGTTTACAGGAATATTTCCAGATTGTAGGAAGTGAACACTAGAGATGCTGAATATAATATAATTTTGAAAGGGGGGGAGGAATTGTATTATTAAACTATTATTTTCTTCTTGCTGCTGTTTGTTTTTTCCCGTTTAATTTTATCCACTTGGCAGTGTTTCATTTTCAAAAGAGTGATAGAAATTTCACTCTAATAATTATTCTGTCAGCAACTGAAGATTGAGGGACCAGACTGAAAAACAAGAAGGATTCAAAACAGCTTTTCTTGGCAGTAAAAGTGTGGTGCTAAATGCCAACAACACTAGCTGCTTTCAGCAGGGTGCTTTTACCGGAGCGCCACTAAACAATACCACAAACAGTTTCTAGGGCCTGATCCAAAACTTATTGAAGTGAAAAGGAGCTTTTCCTTTAATTTATAGGGGCTTTTGATCAGGCTGTTAATCCTGTTATAATTTTCTTTGGATCAGGCCCTTAACCCTGTAAGAGCTATTTCATTAGGACTTTTAGTTAAAATAGGCATATAATGTTGTATAACCATAGGCTCCCCATTGCTAGTTAGAAGTACATAAGAAGACTCAATATGATAAGAATAGGAAGCCATTCTATTCAGCGTTGCTACCAATTAGGCTTTCACATGCCTGCTTCCCTGAATTTCTACCATTTCCCTCAATCCTCCTCTTCTCCAGAAATAACTACATGTCTTTCTTGAAACCATTCTTATGGTTTGCTTTAATAATCTTTGGTAGTTTAGGCCAACATTTTCAGCTGAATGAAAACGGTCTGTTTCTGAGAAGTTCTGAACACCTACAAATTCCATATAAGTCAGTGGGACCTGATCTACATGAAAACCCGACCACTTGCATTTATAACTATGGATTTAGGCAGCTAACTTTAGTCACCCAGGTTTGAAAAGTTTGGCTTTAGATCATATGTTTGTTACACTTTATCTGAAATGCTTTTGCCTCATTTCCCTATTTAGTCCTATTGTCCTCTTTTTTTTTCTTTTTCTTTTTTTCTTCAATGTATCCTGTTTTGATCCCTTTCATTAGAGTTTAAAATAGTAGTTTCTAATAAAAAATCCTCTGTCCTGGTAACGCTGAGTTCTGAAAACAAGCACAAGCCTGGGATTTTTCAGGATTTCAAGTAAATGTTGCCAGTGGATGGGATGGCTCAGAAAAATATTCGTAATTCGTAAATCAGACCCTTTCATTTCTAGATCAGATTTACTACTCAGATGCAGTCTGTTTAATAGTACCTGAAAGTATTTTTTTCCTTCTGAATTTGGTGGCCTTTGGTGGTCTCTTTCCAGTTTCTAGCAATGTCCTATCCCATCACGCAACACTGCATTTAGATCTACTAGTCAGTCTTAAAAACCAGGCGTGAAATGGCAGCAAAGAGGCCCTGGTTCAGAAAGCACTTAAGCATGTGCTTGCTGTTAAGGATGTGCAGGACCTTCATTGACTTGAGACATGGTGGAACTGAAGTACCTGCCCAAGTCCCACCAAGCCTGCTCTCGCAAATCTAAGCCAGAAACCAAACCGTACTTCTCACCTGTGTGATTCCTCTGCAGGTGCTTGGGGTGGGTAGTGTGAAGATGTTTGCGTGGCTGCTGCCTGTGGTATACTTATTCTGTGTATATAAAAGTGGAGCTTCGACCTCTGAACTGCCAGTCAGGCATCTTTTACAATAATTAAATATCCTTTTCTTCAAAAATGTGGAGGGGACGAAAATCCATCATGGCAATCTACGGTTAAAAGAAAGCCTCTTACTTTGAGTTACTAGTTTAAGGTGCCATAATTACTTCATTTGAATTTCGGTACAGATAGTTATAGGTAGACTTTCCTCACAGCTGACAACAATAACGCTTAAAAGAAGAGAAAGGAAAAAAAGAAAAGACAGCTTCTACAGGATAGCTTTTGAGGCAGAAAGCTCAAATACAATAAATATAATGATTTGATTTAGAAGTGCTATCATCTTTTATTTACTTTGAGATTGGCTGCTTTATATGGGTTCTTTTAGTACTGATGTATTTTTTTTCCAACTATCTCCCTTCTGTTTAAAGATATTTTCTAACGGTCCCCTTTCTCTTTTATGAAGCAAATACATATTTAGTGGCCTGCTTTATCGTCTGACAATATAATTTCTACTGAAAATAGCTTTTGCTTTTATTTTTCATGGTGTTGTGAAGGTAGCTCTATTAAGCTATGTTTCAAATGTTCACTTTCCATTGGTGAATTCTGAGGGCCAGATTCATTGCTGGTCTGACACAATGGAAGTCAATGGAGTTATACCACAGATGTATCTGGTTGTGAATGTTGTTTGGTGTGTACCTAGTAAAAAAATCTGGACAGTGCATTACTGCAATGTCAGGTTCTCCAGTGTAGCTACAAAGTGGAAGATTGTACAATGTTCCTTAAAATGTTTTCAATTTCTATTTTCTTGCTGCCTCACTGGAAGTCCAGAGATTTTTATTGCTTTCCCCCAAGTTGGAAACCAGTGTTTACATTTCTGTTTCTGAGATGCGCTAGATTGCTTAACAGATGTTTTCTGTAAATCCCCAGTGCAAAGCAACCTCAGCTTTGTTTGAGTCTATGTTTGTTCATTAAAGGTGATTTTTGTTTTGATGCCTGAGGCATCTCTTCCCTTTCTCCCTGCCCCCTGATAAACTCTGATTTTACAGTATATATCACAAATAGTGTTTTTGTAACTATTCTTGAATAGTTACATACTTTTGCAATTAATCCTTAAGGGCCAATTTTTTGGACACCTATTCAAATCACATTTAAACTGGGCTTTGTTCAGTGGTCTTATTGTAGGCTGGCTGGACAGAATCATCGTCATAGAATCCTAGAATATTAGTGTTGGAAGAGTTCTCAGGAGGTCATCTAGTCCAATCCCCTGTTCAAAGCAGGACCAACCCCAACTAAATCACCCCAGCCAGGGCTTTGTCAAGCTGGGCTTTAAAACCTCTAAGGATAGAGATTCTACTACCTCCCTAGGTAACCCACTCCAGTGCTTCACCACTCTCCTAGTGAAATAGTGTTTCCTAATATCCAACCTAGACCTCCCCCACTGCAACCTGAGACCATTACTCCTTGTTCTGTCATCTGCTACCACTGAGAACAGTCTAGATCCATCCCCTTTGGAACCCCCCTTCAGGTACTTGAAGGCTGCTATCAAATCCCCACTCACTCTTCTCTTCTGCAAACTAACTAACCCCAGTTCCCTCAGCCTCTCCTCGTAAGTCATGTGCCCCAGCCCCCTAATCATTTTTGTTGCCCTCCGTTGGACTCTCTCCAATTTGTCCACATCCTTTCTGTAGTGGAGGGGCCAAAACTGGATGCAATACCCCAGATGTGGCTTCACCAGTGCCAAATAGAGGGGAATAATCACTTCCCTCGATCTGCTGGCAATGCTCCCACTAATGCA